TTGTACCGGGGATTGAACTTGGGTCCTTGAACTTCTGAGGCAGGTAGTAGCACCACTGAGCTAAATCCCCAGCCCTGATTGGTAAATATTAATGACTCTTAAAGATACTGCTGTGAACATAATGATCATTCACCAGAAGTGCCTTGCTAATAATGTGTGGTACCGTTTTTAGCTATAATTCATTAAAGAATGACTTCACAAAGCATAATGCAGTGTCTACAGTGAAGAGCAAAGGACAGTTCTGTTTGGCAGCACTCAACTCAGTGCCAAGAATATGTAAATATTCAGTCCCTTTATCTGCAGAGTAAATTATGTATTCTTGGAAGCATTAATTTTTTTTCAGACCTCTGGACCTCCTTGAGTGCACTGAAGCAAGGATTCTAAGTGACTCCATCCTGGTGTGAAATTTGACTTCAGCTTCTAGAATCTCCCAGCACCCCCACAAGAATAGTTCTTGTATGAGAGAATCAGGCTTCTCTTGTATTATAAAAAGCTCATAAATTCTCAAGCATAGCATCATTTAGGACAAATGTCTTGAGCCTTATCAGATTCTCCAAATGAAGAATAATTGATCTGAGCCAAGAATGGGTTTAGAAATCAGTTTCAGGGGTTTCCATGGAATATTTTCTCATTTGTTCTCAATGTACAGACAAGGTTGATATCCTACTCTTCTCATTTCTTGTTCCATTTTTAGACTTTCTGTGAGTAAACTTGAATGTGTGAGGTTGGAGTGGGGAAACTGTGTGAATTAAAGGGTAGAGATTAAGAGGAAAGAATGTGAGATGAAGAAAGGCTGAGTGTGATGACACATGTATGATCCCAACACTCAGTGGCTAAGGCTGGACAATCTCAAATTCAAGGCAAGAATAGGGTATGCAGCAACTTCCAGTCTAGCCTGACTACTTATTGAGACTGTCTCAAAAAAAAAAAAATACATGAAATTCTGATGAGGCCATCTGTTCAGAATTAGAGGACAGCACACGCGGAGGTGGAAGGTGAAAGGAAACAAGGCTTGGCTTTGGAATCATTAGATGCCAGTTATGTTCTGTTTGTAGAATGGGATAGGGTAAAACCAAGACAAAGACGGTGTGTGTGTGTGTGTGTGTGTGTGTGTGTGTGTGTGTGTGTGTGTTTCTTAATTAGCTTTGTAGGTATGTTGATGTATCTATATAGAATCTTTCCCTGGCATTTCCTGTTCCACATGACACACTGAGGTCTGGCCAGATCCTGGGCCATTATATTCCCATTCAGTTTTCCAGAAATAAAAGTACTGATACTGTCCACATACTGATGACACTGAAAGATTTAGTTTTGTGGCTTGAGAATTATTTTGGCCCATAGTGTAAAATTAGGTCCCACGTCCTCTGAAAATCTAGCTTCTCACCCTTCTTTTGAGAACTCAGTCATGGATTTGGACTTAACAGTAGTATATAGGTGGGAAGAATTGAATTTATGTTTTTCAGTCCACTAAGTTTGTCACCAACTTCCACGTGTGTGCATGCTATTAATTTATGCCTTATTAATGCCACAGCAGAATGGTCAGAACTCTGTTTCTATCTGAATTTCCATAATGAAGACTGAAACAGCTGATCATACCTGGACCTCAATCTTAAGTAGTCACCTAGAATAGAGTGTAGTTTTGGAGGCTTCTCAAGGTAGAGCTCGCCAGTACTTCTAGTCCAAGCCAATTTCCTGAAGGAGGTTTAAAGTCATTACCAAAGAGAACAGAATCTAAACTCAAAGTTTATGATATAAAAACCAAAAATCAAGAATAAAGTAACTTGAACCATAGATTTAGCTCAGCACTCCTGCCTCACAAGCACAAGGTCCTGAGTTCAATTCCTGGTACCAAAAAAAAAGAGAGAGAATAAAGTAACTTAATTGAAGGGATAGCAGTCAGGAATAATTGAAGATGTTTTCAATTTCCAAGGGTACTTAGTATATTTTAACATTGACAGTTTCAGACCATTCAATTTCATGAAAGAGTATGCTACCTATATTCTTCAGAGAGATGAGAGAATGTTTGAAGAGAGGTAGAAAAGTTTATGGTATACTGGAGTTTGACTTACTGAGTGCTTTGATTGTTGTTAATTTTATAAATAATTCTTGGCGTAATAGATATTTTGATGCATTTATAAACATATGGAGTGCTCTAGTCAGTCTAGGTTGTTACTTTTATTATTTTTCTCCAAGACAAAAAGACAGAGTAGGGAAATGTATATAGTTAATTTCATTAATAAGGAATAATTCTTCAAGGATTTGGTCTCCAGAGGAAATTAGGTGTGGTCAACAGCTGTACCTAAAGAATTGTACCACAAGATGGTGCTCATGTGTTAGTCATGCTGTTTTTCAAGCAGTTTCCTTTAATTGTCCAAAAACGTGATAATTTTGGTATTTATCTGTTTTTACATCTTTTAGTGCAGGTTTACTTAGCACTTAAATACGTTTGTGCTTTTAATTTACGCTGATTAATTCAACATATATCTTGTTTTGGAAGCTAAAACCAGCAATTTCCATGTTTATTTTGCTCTCAATATCTTTTATTATGTAATTTTTGAGCTGCTGAATCAAAATATGTACTTTTGCCAAGCTCATTTTATTCTTTCCTCTTCTTTAAATACAAGACTGTGCAGCATAAACTAGCAGAATTAAAAACACACATATGTGTAACCAGAGCTTTTGTGGACAGCTGTCTGCAGCTGCATGAAACGAAACATCTGGACTCAGCCTCTGCTTCCATGGCGAAATATTGGTATGCCTTCTACAGGAATTAAAACATAGGGTGTGCACAGACTGCTGTGGGATTCTGCCAACTGTAAGCTCAGCTCTGGGGTTATAAATGAAAATAGGAGTAAGGTCAACTTTTTTTTAATGCTGAAAAGTCCCATTAGGGCTATTTGTAATGTGCTAAAAATTACTCAAGTTAGTATTTAATTCATGACTTGCTATTGAAAATAAAACATTAAGAAACTGAAATAGGATGACTGATTAGTTCTTTCAAGTAATAGTTTAATTTCAAATTATCTGAAATGTGTCAGTATAAGTCTGAAAGAGAACAGAAAAAGTTAGGAGTCTTGAAATAATATAAGTAGCAGTTCTTCCATTAAGTAATTCTAACCAAACTTCATTCTTCCTGGGACAGCATTTTGCTATCTATGAAATGATTAGGATAGATAGGATTTTTCTATTTAAAGTATTTTCCAGATCTAAGAAAAAAATTATTGAGTGACTGTCCAATCAAAAGTCACACATGCTTCATTAAATGAAAAGAAAAAGATACTCGTTTAGAAAGACTTTCATTTTAGTTAAATATGATTAACAGTGGTGTTAAAGATTAGTTAATTGAAAATAAGAACCCTATAAGACTTTTGTATATTTTCCGATGCAAGAACATAGAATTTAAATCAGATTGTGGAAGTGGATTTAGTTTCCTCTTTTAAAAAAATTCTTACATCTCATTAGGCCAGAAATAGCCTTGAAAAAAATTCCTGTCATTATTCATTAACTTGGGTTCAGTTTAATCATATGCAGAATAGGAGAAATATGCAGCATAGTGCTTTATATAATGATTGCACAATAAGAAATACAACAGTTTGAAAAGTAACATGAAATTACTAGAAACTAGTAAACTGACTTTTTATGTTTATAGCAAGTTCTTTGACTAGTGTGGAAAAGGGTAAAAATTTTAGATATTTTGGAGAAAAGAGAAATTGGCGTAATTATTGACCTATGCCTTGAAAACATCAGGTTTATAGACATAATGTTCTTTTTAACCTAAAAGTAAGGAGATCAACTAGTTATCGCTCAATAAATATTTCACTAAAATACTTGCCAGATATAGAAAATTACTGAATTCTAAGCATTATGGCTAGCTAGAGATGTCTTTTTAGGAACATCACCTGTCCTATGGCTTGAGTACTTTAAATAGAAAAATATGTCTGTGGTTACCTTATGTTTTCAAGTATTGAAAAATAGAAAATAATTTTGAATGAACGTATATTTTTATGTTAAGGTGAATAAAATCCCTACTATTATGGTTTTTATTATAGTTAAAATTAATACTGGGTAAGTAGAGTGGTAGCAGCTGTCACCTTGCACATGAGGTGCCCTGGGTGTGATCCCAGCACTGCAAAGGAAACAAAATTGTGTGATAAGATCAGTAAAGACTTCTTCTCAAGTTCTTTTGTAGTCTTCCTCTGAAGAATAATCCTAAATAACTTTATAATATTTCCTATATAATGAAATGTACTGTAGTGTACGCTACCCTCCTCGGTTTTCACTTTTGCCTTCAGTTTATTTCTGGAAAGTCAGTAACTGAAACATTTTTTTACCATTTTTAGAATTCAGAATTGTAATCTTTAGGAAGAAACAAGCATCTTTGGAAAGAAAAACAACACATTACAAAGGGAAAAGGAATTAGATGGCAGGATAAATTAGATCATACAGAGAATCTAAATAATTTAGACCTAGTTCATTCTTCACTATACCCTTTTCAAGTAGAAATAGCCAAAACATAATAGTCTAAGTTTTCATTTTGTTTCTAGCCTTAAGAAAAATTCAACCAGAAATAAATTGAAGGAAGGTGCTCTTTAATGTGAAAGTTCTCTTGACATTTATTTTACGTAATTTTTATCTTGTCTTTTTTAATATGTCTATTTGAATTATTTGATAAGTTTATGCATTGAAACAATTATAAATAATTCATTTCTTGATTATAAAGCATCTCATGAATATTTATTTTACACTTTCTCTTCACTGTTTACTTTGGTCATCCAGGGCATCTGAACTACAAAACAGTGTAGCCTATGATTGTGTACAGCTCCATGGAGGATGGGGGTACATGTGGGAATACCCGATTGCAAAGTGAGTACGATGCTTCCATTATGCTCTTCTTAGTGATGTAAAAAAGAAAGAAAATTTCTTTACTTTGTATGTGAAGTATAAAGGGCAAGAAAGTACAAAAGTTTTGTATTTTTCAGGTGACTGCAGAGTATGTTCATGCAAATGGAAGCAGTTGTTTTTTTTTTATCAACTCGCCACTAGAATTGTTATTTTTAAAGAATGTAAATACATCACTATACCAAAAACTTGATGCTTGGCTTGACTTTGAAGAACACATATCATTTTGTTTCATTGTTGTTTTGTTTTTATGGTGCTAGAGATTGAACCAGGGCCTTGCACATCTAGGTAGTGTGTGCTACCATTGAGCTACACCCCAGCAACCTTTTAAAAGCAAACAAAAGTAACAAAGTAGAATAATTAATTTGTATACTGAAGGGATCTAATATGTCATACATTAAATATTTAATTATTTATTTTGCTCTGAAAAATAAGTGTTTATTTTTTCCAAATAGAATTTTCATCTCTTCAAATTTAAGGAAATAAATGCACTTCTTTATTGTATTACAAATAAATACTGTTAGCTGGAAACAAAAGTTTGTAAATAGAGAACGTCATCTTCCTTACTTCTCCCTGTATTTCCAGTGTTTCCTCTTTCCTTCATTTGGTCTTCTGCCTCAATCTCCTCATGATAGATTTCCTCTTCACCTTAGAAAATATATTTTTCCTCTTGCCTTTTTTCTGTTTTTGGCATTACAGAGGATTAAACCCCAGACCTTCACACATCCTCAGTCCTTTTTAATTTTTAGTTTTGGGTTAGGGTCTTGCTAAACTCACCAAGTGTCCAGGCTGGGCTCAAACTTGAGATCCTTTTGCCTCAGCCTCCCAGAATGCTAGTGTTATGGCATGCACCGCCACACCTGCTTCTATCTTTCTTCACATTATTTTCAGTTTATAAAATTTTCCAGAGTCCATCTTAATTCTGAATTTCAGGATAAGAATGCTATGGGCTTCTAAAAATTTTTCTAATTTTTATCTGAATATAGAGTATTTTTTTAAAAATTATCAAATTTGTATCAAACTGCTTGATGCTTTTGAAATTATCAGTTTTACAAGTATAATTTTAAAATTGTGATATGCTTACAATCCTTACCAAGGAAAATAAACATTTTATTAGAGTCTCAAGAACAGAAGCTATAGCATAAATATACTTTTTTAACTTTCTCTGGTCACTGGCAACTCGGAAAGTTTTAATTTACTAGATATAATCTGTAAACCTTTGTAAAAGTTCAGCAATAACCAAGGTTGTTTCTTTCACTAAGAATGTAGACATGAAATAGCTGAGTGATTCCTTTTTATTTTTTTAATCAATCCTTGGACTTTGGCTTTTTTTTGTCCTTTCAGAACTTCTTTGAATAGACCTTAAGGCAGATTTTTTGTGTGTGTTGTACTGGAGATTGAACCTACATCCCCAGCCCTTTTTAATTTTTTAATTTTGAGACAAATTCTCAATAAGTCACTAAGTTGCCCAGTTTGGACTTGAACTTGTGATGCTTCTACCACAGCCTCCCAGAGTGCTGACCTTGTAGGCTTGTGCTGCCACAGCCAGCTAGCAGATTATTTTAAATCTTTGTATAGTCATGAAATAAATAATGAGCTAGCACAAACTTAATCGTCACTGAAATTTTTCCTGTACATTTTTATGTTTTATTCAGAGAATTCATCCATCTTATGCATAATATTCATTGTGTTTAAAAAGTAGCATAGCAGTAGAGTTTATATTTTTCTGCTTAACTGTGTTGTAACTATGGCCGGGAATGTAGTCATGGAGCAGTTTCATGTTTGCATACTTAAGTTCAGGTTCCAAGAAAGGCACACCAGATGCAGAGGAGTCAGCCATCTGAATCGTTTCAGATGAGTGTGATATAAACTGGTCTGTTTTCTCAGAGTTCTTGCCTTCATATCAGTTGCGAGAAAGATTTTATGGCTTATTTGAAATCCCTGTTTTCAGTTTGAAAGACTTATATTTCTTATAGGGAATAATAACTGTGTTCTTGGCCCCCTTGTTAGTTCAAAGATTGTAAAACTCTTTGTCTAGACTATCTCCACAAAGGCAGAGGGATTCCTAATGTCCTATAAAATCAAGTAAGCTGATTAGACACATAAGGCAATATGTGGATGTAGCATGCAGACTTTGATTTAAGAGAAGAAAATCCATCTACTTGTGCTTCTAACTTCCCTCAGATTAAGCTACATTACTTGTTATACATATATAATTTATTTCTGAGTCTTGGTTTCACAGATGAAAGAGATACTTTGTTCCCCCTACACTGTTTTTTCTTTAATAAACCCAGCATGTGGGTTTATTTGTCTTATTCACTGGAGTGGGACTATGAGAAGTGAAGCTAAATCATGGACATTTGAAGACTTTTTTGTCTTTCCTAGCAGAAAGGCAGCCTGAGATGAAGAGCTTCATTGAAGTGTAGTTAAACATTTCCTCTGCTGCTATTTTCTGTTAATTTTAGTTGATGACCAAATTTAATTAGTAACTTATAAAAGGTCCATGGATCTCTGTCATTACATACCCCATTGGAACTTCTTTATTGTGAGAAAAAAAGTGTCCTTCCCAGTCTAAAATTGTCTAAGAGCACTGGAATTGCTGGAGTAGGCTAAAATGCCAGGAACGTCCTGAAAGCACAAGTGCCTACTTTTGAGGGAAACAACAAAATCTGTCCAGAAAAGAGTATGTATAAAAACATAAATGTCTAGATTTTAAAACTTTCATGAGAAAGTACTGAGGTTCTAAATTTCTTTTGTAATACACTAAATCATATCAGTAAATATTTACTGAGTGCCCATTTTTGTTTGCAAGGTACCTTGATGAATATGAAGCAATTTAAATCCAGAGTTGGTCATGTTCCTAGAGAGCTAGCACATTTACTTTGTCTTGATAATTAGATAATTAGCAAAAGATGCTAATTGAGAAAGAAATGCCTTTGATTTTGTCTACTAGAAAATTCTAAAGTCCAATAATTAGCCCTAAATGGCTGAGTCATCGAAAGATTAATAAAAATACTTCCAAATAATAAAAATAATAATAAAAATACTTCCAAAGAGCTAGGATACCTATATTCTCATTGCAGCCTGCCAATACCTTTTGACCATTAAGTGGTATTGTAACCATTAATCAGTAAATCCTCTGAATTTGGGTTCTACATGCAAAATGTTCATAATTTTATCCTCCTGATACTACATTTGAGATGAGAAAAAATAAAAATAACTGTACAGCGGCATAGTACCCATTGTGGCTGTTAAAAGTGAGCTGACAACATGTCTGTTGTATGAGGGTGTCAGTGGAGTCCACTACTTAGTATTTTGACCCCAAACATCACCGGAATGGCTGTTAATCATTTCCAAAGAGTAATTTTCTTTTATCTTTGTAGAAGTAGTATTTTGTAAAGCATCAAATTATACTCCTAATGTTGGTAGTGGTGATGTAAGTTAAAATAATAATGGAAAATAACTAATTTCTCTAGTTTTTTTCTCTAAAACCAGTATATTTCAACTTCCTGAGAAAATAGTAAAAGATAGCAAAAAATTAAGATATTCCATGCATTTAAAAATTGAAACATTTTTCAGAATGCTTTTATATGTGCTAGATTTTATAAAACTAAATCAGGTGAAATATAAATTGTATTTTGAATTTGTAATCTCTTTATGCAAACTAAAAAAGGCTATATAAACTATCAGTGCCTTAATAAACTTTTAAGTATATCAACTTAAGATGAACTTTATACTGGGAAAATAAGTAAGTTACAAAAAACTTTTAATTGCTTGAATTTTATTAAATGTATACTTTAAAAGTTCATTGGTAAAATGAACTTTTAAATTTCTGATATATTTTACTTATATGAATTTGATTATCTTCTGATTTATCTAGAGCTTATGTGGATGCCCGAGTTCAGCCAATCTATGGTGGTACCAATGAAATAATGAGGGAACTGATTGCAAGAGATATCGTCCGTGAGCGGTAAACATCTACCCACATCCTGGAGTCTTATTATAGCTAATCAGGTTTTAAATCTACTCAAGACAAAATCTAACCTGGGAAAGAAGGAAAATGGCATGTGTTTTTTATATGCTCTGTATAGAGAAAGAAATCAAATCCAGATTAACACAGTGGAAGGGAAATTTTTGAATCGCAAAAATCAAATTTTCTCATAAAAAATTTAATTTCTAATTTTTATGTAAAAGTCAAAGGTTTTTTAACCCTAGAAGCCTTAATATTTCACTTATGTCTAAGATTCTAAAAAGTATTAATTATATAAAACCTGAGAATTGAAGCAGAACTAATTTTATATTGCCATGCTATAAAAACATAACAGCATTGATCATGGACTTGTACAGGGAAAAATAAGTATACCTTAGAATGTAAAGTCACTCAGCTATTGTATGTTTTGCTCCAAATTCCCTAGAGCACAGGTAATACCTTACCACACCAACCCCCTATTTTATAGTAATGAATGGAACCTATTCCTCAAACAAAACATCACATTTTACTCTATCAACATATTCAGTTACTATATTTCAATTAAAAATAAAACTTCTTTAAAAAAAAAAAAAAGCCTGTGTGGAATGTCTCCGTGAAATACTGATGAGTGAGGAACTGCTCCAGTTGAAGCAGAAATCCTTTCTACTTTCTGTCTTGAAATTCCCAGGACTCACCTTTGCCTAACTCGAATCTGAGAATTCGCTTGCTGTTCTTATGTGCTAATACCTAGGCTTTTAATCAATTTTCATTCTACTTTATAGGAGAAAACATAATTCATCATCCTTAAATTTCAAAATACCAGTGAATATCAAAGTAGCAGCTTTCATTTTGTAACAATATAATTTATTAAATAAATATTTATTATACAAATATTTTGTATCTTCTATAAACAAGGCTGTTTAAAAATATGATGGCAAACAAAAATTGCAAGACCCTTACTAATAATAACTGAATAAACAAATAAGGCAAGAAAGGAACAGAAATTTCCATTCATAAATAAATTACAGTAAGAGAAGTAAGCATTTAAAATAAAATAAGGAAATTACATTTGACTTTAAAAAAGTATTATTAAAAAGTATTAATTTTTATGCTGGTCACATCTTTTTAGTAATTGCTTTTCTTTCTGTATGCTGGTGATGCAGTGAATAACACCCTTGAAAAATAGAAGTATGCAGTATGATAAATGCAGTTAATGTTTTAAAAATTGCCATTAATCCTCAAAATATTCCCCCTCTCTTTGAATGTACTTATAATGTACTTATCCTATTGTTCTTGCCACTTCTGAACCAGTTCTGAAATTATTTTTCCTATCTTTAGTTGCACTTTCATGGCTGCTTTGATGTCCTGAATAAATTCAAAACAATACATACCTAGTAAAAAAGGTAGATGAGGACACACAGTAAGGTTTTAATTTAACAGAAATTGCTGTACCAGTGATGTACGATGTGTGACACAGAACATTGTCATGATGGAAATCAAATTGCCTATTTTCTCAGGCCCTATTTTCTCAATGTACATTATTTCTTTTTCTTTAACCTTTGCTTTGATCTTTAATAACACACATTTATAGTACATAGGGAATTAGTACATGTACATAATACATTTCAATTTTGTCCTCTTCCCCACATCCCCCCTTTTATTTTGCCAGCACTTTTAAAGTTAATTATATATACAGATTAAAAACCAGAATAGTAGGCCAAACAATATATAAAATACGTTAGACAATTATACTAAATCAGGGTATACTTTTAGATGCATTGTTCGTACTTCAGTACAAGAACTTTTCTCTTTTATCCTTTTATCTGTCTCTTATTTTGAATTTTATATATTAAGTTTTTCGTATACAAGAAACCATGTGATATTTTGACATTATGGTCTCAAGGTGCATCCATTTTTCTGCAGATTCTTCAAGTTTATCCTTTACAGCAGTGTATTACTCCATTGTGTATAAAAACATTTCATTTATCCATTCATCTGTTGAAGAATATATAAGTTGTTTCTAAGACTTAGCTATTATGAATTGTGCTGCTATAAATATGGGTATGCATATGTCACTATAGTGTGATGTCTAACTTTTGAGGAATATCTCTAGGAGGGGAATATCTGGGTCAAATAGAATTTTTGTTTTTAATGTTTTTGAGAAATTCCCCATAGTGATTCCTATAATGATGGTAGCACATCATTTGCTCTTATAAGCCCTTGTAACATTCACTGTAGTGCCTCTAGGTACAAACTCAGTTTATACAATTCTGTCAAGGTAAAAAAAAAAATTACCTTGATATTGGATCTTTTTTTTGTGGGGGCATTGAGACAGGGTCTCACTATGTAGTTGAGACTGACCTGGAACTCACTAAACTCACTGTGTAGCCCAGGCTGGTCTCGAACTCACAGCGATCCTCCTGCCTCAGCCTCCCAAGTGCTGGGATTACAGGCGTGCGCCACCACACTTGGCCTTGATATTGGATCTTAATTGACTCACTTTTGTTTCTAACACAATGAAAGCAGTGATTTCCATTTGAGGACTCTGAATCTTAGTCTCAGGATCATAACCACAGACCCAAGTTTCATCTCCTGTGATAGCATTACTTATAAAGCTGGAAACTGAAGCAACTCCAGTGAAATTGAGGGACGCTCTTGCTTTTGTTCAACAGTCAAAATGATTTTGCACTCAACTCAGCTCATGTTCAAATCTGTTCTTAAAATGCTTTGAATAGAACTTTAAATGAAACTTGCCACACTGTTACTAAGGTTCTACTCACTATTTCTCATATTGAAGATCCCTGCCTTTCCATTGGATGGTATATGGCAGCAGCATTCACTGTATTTTTTAAACCACACCCAGGAGGTGTATTCTTGTTGAACTTTAAAACCATAAATATTACATTACATAGGTAGAGTAGAAGGAAGAAAAAATATTTTATATCATTTTTTCCTTGAGGTACACAGCTTTGATTTGCTCTTGGGCAGAAATGTGTGTAGTTGCCAGCTTAAGTTTCTTCTCATATGCATTAAGTACCACACAAAATGGCTTAAAATAAATTTTTGGTGTGTATTACAATATTTGAAGCTTTCACCTCACTCCTACAAACAGGAAATGATAAAGGATTTAAAAGACCTTACCACCCCCACACTTCTACCACAGCTCCTTTCCTTTTCATTCTTAATGGAAACTAGATGTTAGGAATAAATAATCTGTATGGTAAAAAATAAAATATTGCAATAAGAAAATGCTATACAGAGGTGAACAGTCCTGGGTTTGATGATGACTCTACTGTTGAGGATCCATTGGATTTTGACAAGTTTTTTAACTATTCAAGATTCCTTCAGGTGAAAATGACAAATGAAACCCAATTCATACCATCTTAAACAAAAACTTGAGTGCAGTAGTTTGAAAGGATAACAGAGTAACTCATAATTCAAAGAGCTGTAGAGATTGGGGTCTCAAGGGCCTAATTCTAGAGCTTAGAACTCCTAGCACTTGCATAATAGCCATGTACTTGTATTTTCCTCTACAAAGTGGCCTAATGGACACTGTAGAAAGACTTCATTATGAAACATTGAACTGCTCCATCCTGCATTCTTCAGGACAATGTCATTTATAAGGAAGGGGAGAAATGCACTGTGATTGACAGCCTCCATCAGGAGCACATGACGGGGAAGCAGACAGCATAATTATCAAAGGAATGAAAGTCAGCTAAAGCAGGGAGCATAATTATCAAAAGAAAGGAATGAAAGCTGAACCTGAGCATATATATGGTTCTGTTTATTATATACCATAAATGAGGATTTCTAAGGTATTTTCATGCAATAATCTCTGAGGTGTTTCTTTTAAACCAGTACTTTTCTTTATCCTACCAATTGCAGTCTTGTTTTACACCCTAAAAGAAATATTTTTTGTATCAAAGGCTAAAGCTGAAAGCAAAAAATAATTCAGAATAAGCTTCTTAACAGTTTACTTGGTTTTCATTTCTAAAGCAGCTAATCTTTGTGTTTTGCTTGATCAGCTTTAACTGTTATTTCCTAGGGAGGGAATTTATCATCAGTATCTCATATAGTGTTGAGTGCTTGTTATGGCTTGTATCTAGATGCCCCCAGAAGGCTCATGGGCTTATATAGGTGGGGTTTTGAGGAGCTGGCTTGATCTAAGGATTGGCCTATTGGGACTAAGGGTGGGTGGTATTAAATTACTCCACTGATTGGTTTAGCATAGTTTTGGTTGTGGATAATGGGAAAGCCCACTCTGAGTGTGGATGGCACCACCTGCAAGTCTTGTATCCTAGATGAGATAAAAGGGTCAGAAAGAAGCAAGCTGCTGCTGCTTGCTGCTTCTCTGCCTTCTGCCTGCCGTGCCACAAACTGCTTTTCCTCTGTAATGCCCCTCTGTCATGCCACCCTACCCTGAAGCCAGCGGACTATGGACTAAAACTTCTACAAACTGATCTAAATAAACTTTTCCTCCCTTAACTTATAGACGTCGGGTACAGTGGTACCTCATTTCACAAATTTAATTTGTTCCATGACTCTGGTTGTGAACCAATTGGTCAAAAATGGAATCAGTTCAGTTTGAAATCAGAATTGTGGAATCAATTATGTTTATGAACCAAGGTACCACTGTATTTTGGCCCAGCCATAAAAAAACTAACTAAGACAGTACTCAAGAAATAATAAATAATAATAATAATTAACAACAACACAGCAAGAAAACAACAGTATGTAGGTATATGAGACTATAAAGTTCCCTTAATTTTGTTTTTTGGCTAAGATTTTTAGGTTCATAATTATTGCTTAAAATTATGCTTGCCTTTTATGTCTTTGATATGTCATTGAAAATGACTTGCTAGTTTAAGATGTCACTGCAAATCTTCACTAATCTTTACTGACTTCTTCATATTAGGATTATTTTATTCTGTATTTGGATTCATTGAAGAGATTTGATACTGAGATTAAAGGTTTATGTATATTGCTTTGCAAAAATACTGAAAAGTTTTCTATTTTTAAAAATCTTATCTTGAAGAAAAATTATGGGAAACTTAAAACAAACTTAAAAATGGAGTACAGTATAATAAACCTCCAACTTCAACATTTGCTAGTTGTGTTAGTCACTTTGATGTCAGTGGGAAAAAATACTCAACGTCCAAAACTTAAAGGTGGATAAATTTAATTTGGCTCACAGTTTTGGAGGAGTCAGTCCATGGTTAGGTGGCTCCAAAGCAGATGTGACATGGTGGAGGAAAGCTGCTCACTTCATGATAGCCAGGAAATACAGAGAGAAGGGAGAAGCTGGGGAGGGAGATATATCCTCCATAGGCATGCCCCTTCATTGACATACCTCTTTCAACCACCTCCTAAGAGCACATTTGGCT